AATTATAGTCTACGTCATCCCCGAAACAAGGGTATAGATGAAATGTAATAATTGAATGCAAAGAAAACATTACTGTTCATATAAAATTCATTCACCTTATTCAAATAGAAATATGGCTTAAAATCGTTTGACATATACTTTTTTAAAATGGTTTAATAACTTGGCAGAACACAATAACGTTATTTGTCAGGTAACTGGCCGGTAACACCCACTTTAAAAAAAGAAAATCTTGATTAATGTTTTAGTTTTTATTATTATGAGAACGAGATTGCCGAACGATAGCGGCTACCTATTTGAAAATTTAAAAAAAAAACTTGGTTTTGTTTTTGTGAACAATAAAAAAGGAGACTTGGGTTATTACGGAATGTGAATTTTATGATTTACCAATCGTAAAATGTCTGCATTTTATTTTAAATAGAATCTAAAAACCTAAATAGGATGTATTAAAACCAAGTATTATCAAACTAATTGAAATACAAAAAAAAACATACAGACGACTTGAGTACCTCCTTCTTTTGGGAAGTCGAAGTCGAAGCGATCAAAATTATTTATTGTTTTTCGTTTTTTAACAACAAATTAATCTAAAAAATCCATTAAATTCAACTAAATTAATTTCAATTAAAAATAAAACTCAACACAAGCACACTAAAGATCCATGGTTCATGTTATTTAATATTTACTTGTGGGAACAAAATTTACGATTCTCGCAAAACCGCATCGAGAAAGTACTTATTTTATTACACGCATTAACTTTATTTATTCATAAGCAAGACGACTGGTACCAATCTTAATGGCAATTAAAAACGTATTCTGAATTGAGTTGTCAATACGTAGCCCTAATTGAGATATTGACTTTTGTTTTTAAAAAATAAAATCTCTCTAAATGTTTGCTTCGGGAGTGAGTAATTTTTATAATTTAACTTAAGGCGAAGCATAATTTGGATAACATCTTTGATATGGTTTTGATTAAAATATAAAGTAAGTTACGTTAACATTTAAAGTTTATGTTCATTTTTAATGAGTTAAGATTCAAATGATAGTTGATAAGTTTTTTTAATTATGTTTTAAGAGGTTAAGTGCACTTGATTAGGCCACCTGGGAACCGGATAAAACCTCTCTCAAAACGAAGATCATTTATCTATCTTTCTCATTTTTATCTTTGAAAAGATTGAGATAGCAATAGTTATATTTTTATACGGGGACAATATATATCAACTTTATACTAAGCTTTCTAACATCTATTTTAAGACTTGATCAAAAATATTTACAGTTTACAGCCGCCAGGTTTGTTTAGGGCTGCCACGCTTTCTTATTCCTTGTGGGATCCACTTTAGGGCCTCCCTGGGAATGTGACTGGGATCCCGGCGAAGCGTATGGCCAATCCATAACTTGCGGCGTTTTATTTGCTGGCCGATCGGCTGCTCTCTACAACGTGTTAGGAGTTGTTCGTTGCGTATCGTTGTATTTCCTGATAGTACCAATGTTAATTTAGAATATCACTGTCCATTATTGTATTAATACATATTAATACGTATTCTTCGTTTATGTTTATGTTAACTATTGCATTTGCAATTCAAACGGAGTATAGTCGCCTTAACATCGTAAAGTTTATAATGGCCGCGTGTTTATATTAAGAATTGCATCTCTGAAGTCGGATTTTAAACTTTGAATTTAGTAAATTGATCATAAAACAAGCATTATTGTTGCCTCCGGGTGCCCATTTCGGTCTTTTATTGCCCACACCGTGTACACTTGTGTTGTAATTATCATTTCGTGGTAAAACCATTCCGATATTGTCTTTACGCCGTCTTAATTTGATCGTTATATACTCTTATCCACTAATTTTGTCATTTAAAACATCTTTTAAAAACAGGATACGAGGCGTGGTATTGTGCGCATTTGATTTTCACCGTTTGGCGCTGATGGTTACGTTTCGCGGTGGTGAGAATCCGAACTAATAATAGAGATTTGAATTGCCAGTATTAACTACGCGTTTAAATCGACACGAAGCAAGGAATTTTATCCATTTAGTACATAGATAAATGTTTTATTGTCTTCAATTGCATTCAAATATTTTTATTGATATGTTTTGTCCCTGTTGTTGTCAACGAGATTGTAAGAGATGACATTAATGACAAAAGAAGAGTGCTGTTTTTTTTTCTGCTTTTTTTTAACATCTTAACATGACCCCATGACCCCTCCCCCTGCCCCTAGATCCGTCGTTTTATTGAAGTGTCTATACTTATGCAATTAAAAAACTGTGCGCAAATCCGCCTTCTTTTCGGATAATCTCCGAAACGGGTGAACCGATTTTGACAGGAATTTTACTGGTATGTAAGGGAGTAATTCAGACTACTTTCCTGTACAAGAAGCAGGCGGGGATATAATTGTCCAAAAAATTAAAGCATCTATTTGAAACAAAACAGTTTAAAAACATAATTACGCCTATTTTCTGATCTGAATTCCGAATTGACAATACATATATGTGAGGGAGTAAGGCTTACTTGTGGTGTGTTGTAAAAATCCAAATTATGCGAAACTATTTCTTTGTTCGACGTTCGTATCAAAAATCTCTTGAGATATTCTTTTCATTATCAAAAAGCATGGAAAATCATATTTCACGGTAATTATAAAACGTCAAGGATCGAATCCATTACTCAAGCTACCCGTACTAAAATCAGCGACCGTGTGTTTTTTTTAAACTAAATAACAATAAATAATGTGTCACAGCAGGTGAGGAAAGGTCTTTTTGTACGTTTGTTCGTCCGGGGACGGAAAAAAACGCGCGTCTTGTGATTCTGGTCAATGTTATCTTTTAACAAAATATAGTCCTATCCTGTAGCGTGAAATAGTTCATTTATGTAATCATATAGAGCTGCCACTACACACGAATAAATTAAAAACAGCATATCATCAACATCATCCTGTCAAAAGTTCTCTTCATACATCTTTATCAATAATTAAAAATAAAAATAAAATACACTTTAATTTATCAAACCAGTTGCACAATAATCATTGGGCTCTGCTTTCTGAGCTAGGTGAGGACCTATATTACAGGAAGCAAGACCTTCTTCACAGTCTACTTTCATAGTAATTTTGTAAAAAAACAAGAATATTTGCCCTTTTAAAAATATGATATTTCTTCAAAGTTACTATGTCTACAGTATTCTTCTAATAACAATTTAAATTTAAAAATTTAAAAATGCTGTGTGAAAATAATTTCTAGTGGTAATACAACTCTATGTTAGATATCTCTCTTGCATCAGGTATAGGAGGTGTTTTTTAGCAATTTTTTTGGTAGCGAACGATGCGAGCGCAATCGTTAAGTGAAAAAGGACCTGTTTCGGCGCTTTTGTTCCCAAACTTCGAGCGACGGTAGCGGACGACCGTACAACATATTATCGCACTAATTAATCGTTATATGTTTTTTCACGGGCCAATTTGGATCTATATATCGAAAGGACTATAGGTGTTCTTCTCAGATCTGCCGGAAACATATTTTGATTAAAAAACAGCCAATAAAAGAAGCAATCACTAAGTGTACTTGATTGTACATGACAATTGAATAAGGGTATACAGGAATTCGCCGAAATAGCGAAATGAATGCTGCTCATATTCATACATTCTCAGTAGCGTATTTCAGAACACCTAAACATCAAAGATGTTGCTTCGTGTGAATGTTTCGTCAATGAAAACGATAGTTTATTAAAAAACAAATGAACCCCGACCCCATATCGTTGACAAAAAATGATTAATGACCTCAATAAAAATCTCTCATAAAAATTCATTCACATTATTAATTCTAATGCTCATAATTCTTTTTGTTGTTTTTTATTCGAGAATCATGAAGAACGCGTCGAACAACGCTGGAGGCCTTTTTTATGTAATTTATGTTGAATACTATTATGAGAAACGGTCGACGGTGTCTCGCTATATCGATTTAACTTTATTTGTATTAATGAACATGTCATCATCATCATCATCATCATCATCATCATCATCATCATCATCATCATCATCATCACCGGCAGCAGCAGCCTTTATCTGCCCAGTGCTGGACATAGGCCTTTCCCAATGCCTTCCATAATGCGGACATCCGCTTTACGCATCCAACGATTAAACATGTAAAAAGTAAATATTAGTGCATTTCGATTCTGTCGAGACAACGATAACGTTGAATTCTACGGTTAAACTGTTACTAGCTGTTGCTCGCGACTTCGTCCTCGTAAAATAAAAAAAAAACAATAAAAAAGATGGCGTTTACTCAGTGGTACCATAGCTATTTAATGGTGCAAGAATTTTTAAAATTAGTGTACTATTTTTAGATATTTCAATACATAAAAAAACTCACAAATACAAATCTTTGTTCTTTATAATATTAGTTTATATAAAAGCGAAAGATGGATGGATGAATGTTATCTCCAAAACAGCTTAATGAATCTCGATAAATTTAATAGAGACGTAGTATGTGGAAAGCATAGACCACTTACATTTTTTAATTCCCCGCAATCACTGGAAAAATCTATAACACTTCTAAAAAGAGAACAATAAGTTTTTATCACATTATTTTGGCTGCTGTTCTCCTAATAAACTAAAATAAATAACAGTTTCTAGAATAAATGGTGTGAAAACCTATGTACTTATTTATTACTAGCTGTTCCCGTGCGGCTTCATCCGCATGAAATTAGGACATGACAAGCCTTAGCAATCTTACTTTCTTGATGTTGGCAGCAACTTATGGTCTCTTTCCCACATTAGGGATTTTATCCAAAATATTTACCCCCTAAATTTATGGCGTGAAAATATATAGCCTCAAGCGTGACGTAAGTGCAGGGTTTTTTATTAAAAAGAGAATCATTCAAAAATATGCTGTAATTGCTGACAACTTAGGCAACAAAGAAGTGTGTGTTTACGCTTTATTATAATAGTATAGATAATATAGATTAATGTATACTATTTAATAATGTTATTTTAATAATAAAACAAGTTAAATTATCCAAGTATGTTTTTGTATAATGAGTTATAAATCACATAAAAATCTTATAAAAATAACGTTCTGTGAATAATTGAATGTGGAAGCAAGAGATGTAGGCCAGGACCGTTAAGTCCCTGGTCTGCCTACCCCTCTGGATTACGGACGAGTGTCGATATGTTTTGTTGCTTTCTTTGTTTTTGTGGCATAATAATTTCATCAGTCAATTCAATTTCTTGAACATCAGGTTCAATAAATTTATTTCTAGATTTCACATGAGCTAGGTACACAGTCCAGACGAAGCTAGCAGCGCTTACAAATACTATACGATTCTTCTCCGATATGAAGTAGAAATTAATAGTTTGCGTTGTCGGCCAAAAGAGGGCGCCGATCTTATAAGTCGGCCAGAATTTCTCTCTTACTTCATCAACGCATTCATTATAAGATTTCCCTTCTAAAGCACTCATACCGAAGAAGAAATAAGCCATAGCTAATGGGGAATACGATATTTGTTCAATAACGGCTCTTGTGATAGCTGTTATTAACGTTTTCCCCTTGAAGAATCTACTCGTATATTTCATCCAGTTGTAAAATACAGGAGCCATGAAAAACGTTCCAAATATGCCATATCTAGCTGCTCTGTTTTTGTCAGCGTTTTCTATACTTGTACCATGTTCCAAATACTCCTGTACTATGCTGCAAGTGGGCCATATGATGGCGTATGACACCATGCCTCGTAATAAAGGAAATTGCACCGGCAATCTACATACTTTAGTTATTATGCCGCTCATTATAATTATTTCTGAATAATATTTTATTTTAGCATTATTGTTTTTCTATCACTGTTTTGTCATTGTCAATTTTTTGATATAGATTATAAAGAAAAAAACATCATTTAAAGATAAGAAAAATTGTAATTAGTTTTAAACAATGGAAGAAACTTGTTGACCATACTTTTGGACGCGCGGGACGCGGTAATACGGCATTTTATTCAAGCTTCTACGTGAATTATCGTATGTTTGAAATATTAATATAATAGACAACTAAAATTTACTTTTCTATCAAACGTTATTTCCAAATTCTTGCGAAAATTAGTACAGTAAAACCTCGATAAGTTAAAGTCCAAGGGAAGCATAAAATATTTTAAGTTATCAAGGGTCTATGTTGTAGAGGTTTTGGGCTCTGTTGGGAAGGGAGCATATTATTTTTTGAAGTCATAGAGGTTTTTAAGTAACCGAGGTTTGAGTTATCGAGGTTCTGCTGTAATAATAAAGTTAATTTAATAAACATAAAACAAGGAATAATCGCAAACTGTGACTTGAAATCTAAGCGTGTCAAGCCAACTTGTCTGTTATATATATTTTTTTAATCTTAGGTAAAGGAGGATTTTTGTCTTGGGAGAGACATGTCAATCCAATAGTGTCAAACTTATAGTAGACTTTAAGAAACGAGCTGTCATAATCTGGCATAATCGTACAGCCGCTTGAGATGCTGGCTCAGCCAATATTGACATGATTATGCCGACGGGTTGAGCTTTAACTCCCGGAAAAGTAGCTCGCGCTCCCAGTCTATATAAGTATAATTTATAACTGCTTCGAAACTGTGGTATTTAATACTAATATCTTCAATTTAAACGCAATTTTTTAAATGATCTATTTAGTATAATCTAGGCGTGCAATCGGCCACCCACAGCGAAGCGCTAAGAACAATAGAATACTTTTAGTTATTAATCGAATAATTCGGTCATTATTCGATTATTTAGCTCGGGTGAATCGATTCGGAGATCGCTTTGTGATAGATGACGTTGCAACATCTCGCGTGAGGTCCGCTCACGTGATCATTCAATTGGACACAAATTAGCTCCAGATGTATACTTTAACCGTTAGGATTTGAAAACTTTAAAAATTGTTGGCGCATATTGAAAGTGAATATAAATAAAAAGGCGAGTAAAACTCTAGCATTCTAATGAAATAAAACAAATTAAAATAGGCCCGTTGATTTCCCAAAGTACCCATTCACACATTTTGTCAAAACAAATTTTGCAACTTTATAAATAAATTTTTCATTATTAATAAATATTAAAAAAAAAAATATTTTATTGGTTGGTTTTTCACTCTTCATGGTTCTTGCCATTACACTTATATAGTTAATAATACTTTTAAATAAAGTCTCATAAAAAATTTGTTAGATAATCCATAAAGCGCCATCTATTAATTTAACGACGCCTTTTGTCAGTAGGGAAAACAAGCTTTGTGCACAAATGTGTCAAATAACGAAAACAGTCCCACATAGATGGCGCTATAACATAAACCATTTTTTAATACTGCTACTCACCACAAGATGGCGATTATCACCCTCGTAGTAAAGCTTTTGTTTTGAATAAGTTTGGTGAAAATAGTTACAAACCATTGTAATGTAGAAAAATAAATTAGGTCACATAAAATAAACAGGTTACTGTTACTTAATTAGAAAAGTTACTTAATTTAATTCAGCAACTTTAAAAAAAATATTATGAAGAAAAGATAATAGTTTTTATTCATTATTTGATAATTAATAAATTATTACATTAATTCCGATGTCTTTAAAAAGCCAGATGAGAGCTTTTTAAAAGTCATTTAAATCTTTACGACTTTAAAAAACCTAATGATTTTATCATAAAAATCTTTAACTGCGTCGAAATTTTAAAAAGTTAATAAAAAATACAGTATAGAAGTAATAAAGCTTTTAGAAACAGGTGGCGTGCTTTCCCATAATACAGGTTCCCTATTCCCATATTTGAGTATATCGGGACACGTGTTTGGGGATCAATATCTCATATTGGCGCCGGCGCCTGCGCCCGACAGATAGGGGATGGCTTACACTAACGAGCGGTTGAAACGTCGCGTTTCGAACGCTGCGTTTTTATAACACATTATTCCGTCATTTAAATTTACATATGTATAAGACTCTTTTAAATTCACACAGTAAAACTAGGAATTTTGTTTTATTTTTTTCGATTATATAAATTGCTCATGCTTAATTTCTAAAAAAGTAGTTTTTTATATTTGTTTATAGTATTGTTGTATTCCATATATCTTTTATAATAATAAAAAAAAATTGATAACAAGTAAATCCTTAAACACAGAGCTATTTAGTAAAACATATTTCAGTAATAAAAAAGGGAAAAAACAAGTATAGAGTAAGCGTGTAAACGTTCGTTTGTGTGACCCCACCCTCAGCGAGGTATGGTAGCAATTCAGATAAAAGCGATCTTTACAAATTGAACTGAAAAACTGTAACGCAGCTCTCATGTAGACGTTTTTTGTTTCACTCGCAGGACTAATTTTAGTACATTGAACGTATACAATAAAAATCTGATAATTTAAAAAGTACGAATCTGTACACTAGCGTATACTAATATTACAAAGAAAAGGTTTGTATTTTTGTATGTATTGAAAGAACTCAAAAACTACTGGGACGATTTCAAAATTTCTTTCACCATTAAAAAACTACGTTATGAATAACATAAAGAAAAAAAATGTTTTTTTTTTTAATTACAGCTAGTCTAAAACATTTTTATGAAAATATATTATAAAATTTAAAACCATAAGGATTTACTTAAATTTCGATTCGAATACCTTTGTTGTAATTTCATAGCCAAAGTGTACAAGCGAATATTATGTGTATTTGTACACGTAATTCATTCAAATGGCATAGATAGTATTATCTTGTAGCTTCGTTCCTTAGAAATTCTGTATTAATTCATATTAGTTAACTATATTGTTTACAAGAAACTAAAATTTCGATTAGACAAAATATAGCTGTCGTCCGCGATTTGTTCCTGAGAGTAATCTATCACTGCCCCAGATTTTATTCAGATATGTTCAGCCGTATTAAGTTATCTGCTAACAAACATCCATCCAAAGATTCGCATTTACATTATTAATAAATTAATTATCTATACTAATAAAATAAAGAGGAAAGCTTTGTATATTTTGTATGGATTGAAATAACTCAAAAACTACTGGGGCAATTTTGAAAATTCTTTCAACATTAAAAACCTACGTTATCAGTAAGTAACATAGGCTATAGTTTTTTTTAATATCACGCGGGCATTAATAAAAAAAGAAAACATTGTCAGACACTTACAGAAAGACAACCAACCGAAATATATTTAACATATTAAAATTTAAATTATATAACTAGCTTTCGCCCGCGACTCCGTCCGCGTGGTATTAAAAAAAAACAAAACCAAGTAGCATATATGTTCTTCCAGACTAACCTTTACATCCATGCCAAATTTAATTGAAATCGGTTTAGCAATTTAGGCTACAAACTACTACGACTAATATTTTTATAATATCAGTATGATAAATGTGACAAAACGTTTTACACTAATCGAATTTTGTTAACAAATGTAGGATAAGAAAGAAGATTAATCGCCCTTGTGCCTAGTCACTCTATGGAGCGTCCACTCAAGCGATCTAAGAGCTCGGTGGCATCCCAATCCGGTAATCATAACTAGTAACAGCTCGTACCGAGGCTTCTTAGGGAGCCCACGAGCTCAGTTACTCATAAACGAGGTTTAGGCTAAGCGCCATCTGACTCGGCCACCTCAAGCCCGGTTAATCTATAAATGCCTCTTCAAGGCAAACAGTGACTTATTAGTAAAAAAAAAAAGAAAATTGAATATTAGCAATTGTCTGAGGTAAATAAAACCCATTTTAGGTAATACTCTTTATTTACAAATTACTGACTAACTTAATTTAAAAAAAAAAAAACTTATGTGAAAATATATAAATTGCACGGAGCGCAGTCGAAACTATTTTTTTATTTCAATAACAATAATACTCTTTGGTTATCAGTCTATTTGTATATAGAAACAAAGAGATTCAAAAAACATAGAGGAGGCAAGTTGACATTTGAAACACTTTTTTCACACTAACGATATCTATTTATAGATCCTCAAAACTACATTTCAATATAATTTATTGTATTTAAATTAACAGTTTAATTTATTCATCACTCTTTAGTTTATTTAAAAAAAAATGTAAAATGTTTTATTACATGTCAATATGCACACGAGATGGCGTTGAACTAAACAACTGATTTAGTAATTTCCAAAGAAAGTACCGGATGGAAAATTTTTGTTCATTGCCTCCTCTATTTATTTTTCAATCTCTTTGTATACATCGTTTATCAACAAACATAATTCATAGTATAAAATTTCTTAATATCATTTTGTTCCGTGTAATCTGTTTCTCTAACATTCGTGTAATTCGATGTTATTTCAACATTCTGTTCCAAATTTGAATTTCTATAATATTTATCATCTACATTATCATAATTTAGACTATCGTCGAAATAAATCGGCATATTCGTATCACAAATTGTAGATTCAGTTTTCGTAGTTTCATAATTTTCTAGTTTAATTTGATTCACTTCAGTCTCTGGTTTGTATAACTTTCGTCCAGTGGAACTTTTGCTTGGCTTCGCATCAGTTGATGTTGACACTTCTGGTGCAATTACTCTTTTACTTTTGTACCTTCTATTTTGAAACCATATCTTCACTTGTGTTGGTGATAGATTTAAAGTTTTTGCTAATTGCTCCCTTTCTGGCGCTGTTAAATATTTTTGTGTACGAAAACGTATCTCCAAAGCATGAACTTGTGTTTGAGAGAAGAGAATTCTGGGTTTTCTTTTCGTATTCTTATCCTTTTTGTCTGTTTTCCCGTTAGGTACTGCCTCTGTAAATTAGATAACACTGGTTAAAAAAGTAAACAATAAAAAATTATCACTGTTTCTTAAAAGGACTAGAGATTGTCTTTGGTAAATTAAAGTCAAGATTCATTACAAACCAATAGTCTACCATCTTCTAACATAAATTTAAGTTTTTTTTATAAAAATTTAGTACCAAAAACAATTTTCGAATAGGATATTTTTTTAATGTACAAATACGTAAATAGACTGAAACCTTACTTGTTTTCCTCGATATAGCGGTGAAATTTTCTAATACATCCGTTTTTGGGTAGTTATTGAAATTCTGAATTATTGGTTGTTGAATTTTGTCTGATACTGGAGCTAAAGGCATCACACTGGGAGGGTTTCTCTCAACACTATCATGTTTCGAACTTTCTCCTGTATGAGATATTGTTGGTACTTCTTGATATTCATGAGGATAGAAGTTGTGGTAATACTGATTATAATTGTAATATTCATCTCCTTTATGCTCGTATACTTCTGTATTCCAATAATCCATGTTATGTCCTGGTATGTTATGGTACACTTGCGTGACGTAATCCGGGCAATATTGGTTCTGATGGTATACAGGTTCGAAGTCACCAACTCGATTTTCTCTTCCATTCTTCCACATATCGTTTCGTTCGTAGTAATTTTGATTTATATTTAATATATCTTTCACTGAGAATGGTGTTGTTAAATTAGTACTATCGTCTATTTTCAATCTGTAATTTGAATCGTCAGTTTTTTGAGTTTTCGAATTTGTTTCTTGATAATTGTAGAAATCGTTTTTTAATTCGTATTTCAAATTGTTGTTGTAAGCTTGTTCGTAGGACTCCATAGTTTAATTCACTAACACTTATTCATTATTCACTGTGACAAATGGATTTAGGGTGCGCCTGGTATAGGTTGGTGTTTAAACGACTTTCAATGGAAGACTGATGGTGCTAAAGATTGTACTTCCAAACCAATCCACGCCCGTTGTGGGCGGAGCTTTCGGTTATATTGTTGTCCTTTTCTTTCACATGAAACATGCTTGTATATCCTTCCCGCTTTAGCATGTCTGTTTACTACGCGGCGTAAATAAACGGGTGAGTGATTTCATTTGGCGGGTGTTCGATCCCTTTTCTCTGATTTGGATGACGTCATTTTATTATTGGTCTTAACTCGTTCATTTGTTTATTTTGCGGCTTAAATTGTTTTTAAATGGATTTGAAACAACCAATCAAATAAAATAAACAATGTAATACTTTTTACAACGTTTTTTGCGTTAAGATGGAATCAAAATTCTTTGTAATACGTACATATCTTTTAATACTCTATTAGAAACGTAATAAAAAAAAACAAATAGGGCATAAGAAAAGGCCTCTAGAGGCTATATTAAAAAAAAAACTAATAATCACCGAACACTGGAATTCAAATTATGTTTACCTATTATATCCACGGTGGTGAAACCGTATAAACAACTTCATAGTTCTGTCAACGTGCGTTCAAGTACTGCGTCGGCAGCTCAATCACCTCAAACCGATGACAAAACGTCTATACAAAATTATTCACACCTTTTAAATTGACTTAGGTAAATAAACAGATAAAAAAACTTACTCTTTATAAAATAAATTCCTTCCTTCAGTTTGATAAAGAAATAACAATTATAATAAACTAATTGTTACTGGCGACTGGGTAAGGAATTAAAAAAATTGCCAATGTTACTCGTTACTGACCTTTTTAATGGTGAAAGAATTTTTGAAATCGGCCTAGTAGTTTTTGAGTTATTTCAATTATATTTTTAACCGTGCACACAGTATTAACTTATCGATAAAACGAAGATTTCTTCCCCAAATAGTTAAAAACACATTTTATCGTTTCAAGATTAGTTTGAGCCCGCGACTCCGTTCGCGCAGAATTAAAAAAATCAAAGTAAGTAGCCACGTGTTCTTCCAGACTATTCTCTGCTTACGTCTATGCAGAATTTCATCTAAATCAGTTCAACATTTTAGGCTACAAACTCTAACAAACATCCATCCATCTAAACTTTTTTTATTTATAAAATTAGTAAGATTACTATCATGCAAAAAAACGCATCAACTGTTCCAATTCGTATCTGTCAAAGCGTAGACATAAAACCGAAGAGACAGTGGTAAAAACATTTTTTTCTACATTTCTTTTACATTTTTTTCTAACATTGTCCGCCACTGGAGGTCATAAAACCCGAACACTTCCGTACGGAAACCCGACACTTCTACACTGTCTGTAACACGAGATATTTGTAACAAAGAACTATTTTGTTGATACAAAATACATTTCTAAGACACGTGGCGCTTGTTCTATATCTCGTGGTACATATGCCAGTCGCTGGCACACTTGTATGTAAGCTACTGGCAAATGCCATGCAAGTAGCTGGCACGATTTGTGATATTGTGACAGATAGGGCCAATTAACGTCCCTCATAACACTATAGCTAGGGTAATCCCGCCTTTATAACCCCACTTATTAGCCACTAAGGGAGATCCTTAGTGTAGGTGATTTGTTTTATATCTCTACCTAAAAATAGTTAACTAAAAAATATTTATTATCTTTACACATAGTTTAACTGATCTAAATCTGATTGTATTCAAAATTCAGTAATCAATACTAGTAAGTAATTACTGAATAAAATGGAAAGAATACTGGTATTATTTTCCTTCTAGAAACATCTGAATGCAAACTGTTTTATCGACATCTGTGACGTCATTCGATGATTTATGAAGTGTAATTAATTTGAAACTGAGCACGCAAATAGTGTCTGGCTGGAACGGGGTCCCCTCCACCATATTACGTATTAAAACAAATAATTTATGATGCAAGCAGTTTAGAAACACAAATATAGAATAACTAGCTATCGATTTGATCTATGAGTGGAATTAAAAGAAAAGTTCACCAATACTCTATGCTTTCCCCCAAACCATTACGTATATTTAAAAATAAACAATTTTGAAAAAAGTCATAATGTTACAATAAAATATATTACAAAATTGACTAGTAAGTTAATTGACTTCTTTGCGATTAAAATAAGTGTTTATGCTTAGTGACATTTTAGTAAACAACAATAAAATGTTAAGCACTAGTTTGTCACACCATAAATTATATACTAAATATCCACAATTTTTAAGTGGCAACTTTAATGTTTTTTAAAGTTACGGGTTTAAAAAATGTCATTTCAGTAATAAACTTGAGAGTTTATGGGAAGACTCGTGTTTTTAAAAGTGGACAATTTCGGGAAAATATTTTTTTAAGTTCTAAAATGTTTTGTTTTTGTTTCATTTAAGATTTATGTAACTACTAGCTTTCGCCCGCTACTCCGTCCGCGCGGAATTAAAAAAAATCAAAAGCAAGTAGCCTATGTGTTCTTCCAGACTATCCTCTACATCTATGCCAAATTTCATCGAGATCCCTTCAGCCGTTTAGGCTACAAACTCTAACAAACATCCATCCATCTAAACTTTCTCATTTGTAATACTAGTTTAGGATACAAACTTTTTTTTTTATATAACAAGGTGGCAAACGAGCAAGCGACCACCTGAAACCGCCAAAATGGCGAAGCGACCGCTGCCCATAGACATCCGCAATTGCAGATGCGTTGCCTACCCTTATACGACGGAGGAGGAGATGCACATATAGAGGATATTTCCCCTTCCTACGCATCTCCTCCACCGTCAAATCCACTTCCTCTTCCCAACCTCTCCTTATAAGAAAAGGGTGGTAAAGAGAAAGGGACTTAAATTAGGCCTCCTGCACCACACTCATCAGACGAAACACGGAATTGCTCCTATTTCACGCCTGTCTTCTGTGTGGTCGTGGTATTACACCGGGCGTACCGGCCCATTCGTGCTAAGATGTTAAAGCGGGCACTACCACTGTTAAGTTAAGTTACAAACTCTAACAAACATCCATCCATCCATCCATCTAAACTTTCTAATTTATAATACTAGTAAGTTTAGCTTTCGCCCGAGAATAAATAACCTATGTGTTCTTTCAGACTATTACATATACATTTTTTTATAAGAGAATGAAAATTATTTTTTAATTTCAGGCAACGAAGTCGCGAGCTTGCAGTCGAGATATTTATTGCGATTAGAGAAAACTTTGTAGGAACGGCGCCTAAACAGAGTTGGTTTTGCTCATTGGAAATAGATTGAGCCCGTCTCGTCCGTCCGTCCGTCTGTGATGAATGTAGTGCACGTGGGTGTTTGATGTATTAATATTGGTAGTGCTTTTAAGGTTATCTCTGTATAGAAGGTGATCTGGCCCGATAGTCCGATACCGTGCCACCCGCGAGTACACTCGCTCGAAACTCGTGTTTGAATAGTCATTTTTATTTAATTTATTTCAACAGTGTCACAATTTTGTAATAAAAGGTAAATGCAACTATAAGTATTAAAAACAAAATAATAGGTTGTATTGAAAATACGTTTTTATTACAAACTAGGTTTCGCCAGCGACTCCGTCAGCGTGGAATTAAAAAAAAGAAAAGTGAATAGCCTATGGGTTCATCCAGACTATATTCTACATCTGTACCAAATTTCATCGGAATCAGTTTAGCCGTTTAGGCTACAAACTCTAACAAACATCCATCCATCTAAACTTTCGCATTTATAATATTAGCAAGAGTAAGATGTTTCACAAACAAAAACTTAAATATCGCACAATTGACTAGTTGATGAACATACTATTGAAATTTAATAACTTCTTTAAGAAAAATAATACAAGAGCAACGGACAAAATGTATAGATTTTTTAAAGTTTCTAAATAATACATGTAAAATTATTATAATTTGACTGCATTGCGACCGTCTGTACACCATTACTAAGCCCGCGCAGTACGCACTCGTTAGCTTTTATTTGGACGCCGGACTCCTGTTCCAGCGTCTGTACACTTAAGAGCAACTTTATTGGGCATTTCTTACTAAGCATAATAAATGAGAAATGTAGCTCAATCTTTATAAAACAAACAGTATAGAAACACTTTTATTGAGTTAATAACAATTTTTAAAAGCATAATCCCTATTTAAATTATAACACGGCTAAACTCACGTGATAAAATTCGGTGTAGGCACCGACAGTTTATACAGTTTATCCGTGTTATAATTTAAATAATATAATGTCTCACGAAAGCTTTAATAACATAATGTTTTTTTTGCATAATTTGTAATAAACTGGTAATAAAGAAATAAATCAATTAACACTAATATTATTGTACTAGCATTAAAATATTTTGCATCTTTATCGATTTAAATTATTCATAAAGTTTCTTCAACATTTTAAAAAACATACTAACTACTTATTAAAACAAAATAATTCTGTATATTTCAATTCATATTAGAAGACGTTGAGATTTAATTCAATTCGAATTTTTAAAAATAAATGCATGTACCATTATTTTGTCCTAGAGTGTAGGAGGGAATCTTTCTCAGTGCGTTATCAGTGTTCAGTACATGTGCACAGTTTAATGTTCCCATTCTGTTTTATTCAATTAATTGCCGGCGGGCCGATGATGTGGCTCACAAACGTATAAAATTAATTCATTATCCATACAAATAGATGTTTCTTAGTCATTTTTACATGAAAAAAAACTACTTCAGTCTTGATATGTGGCAGATTTGTTGTGTGAATCAGAATTAGGGAATTTATTTGGAGTGAAAAATATGAAATCTATTTTAACCATCATCAGCTCACTAAATGTCTCCACTACTTCTCCACTACTACTCCACCACCACTCCACTACTCCACCCTAGGATAAGGTGACTATAGTCAACCACGCTGCACTGCGGGTTGACTTCACACATATGTTTGTATTTCTTCGCCG